AGTTTGCTCGTCAGTAGAGTCCCTTTTTCTATTTCATTAGTTTGCTAATATTCGTCAGTAATAATAATAATATAATAGTATAGGTTATATTATATTTAATTTTCTAATATCCCCATTGGTAGAGTATTATTTACATAGTTTGATTGTCAGTAGAGTTCTAAACAAAAAAAAATTCTAATATAATTTAGAAGAAATCTAGGTTACTCGTCAGTAGAGTCTCCTTTCTACATAAATAAATTGTAAGAGTTTTTATTAATTTAAATGCTTTAGGATTCTGGTTTCAAATTAATTGCTTTCATTGTCATTAAGACGTTTTGCTGAAGTTTCAACTATAAAACAACGGAGCAAATAAATAAAAGCTCTTTCGTAAGATAATTGAACATTTGATTTTTTTTTAAATTAATAAAGAATAAAATCATTTTATAATCATAGAACAATTCATAATATTTTAGTTCGTTTGTTAGTAGAGCCCTTTTTCGTCACAATAGAAATGCCTTAATGTTTTGTTTTCCTGTTAGTAGAGTTCTTTATCTTTCACTGAACAATGTTTCTCTTTAAATTGTTTGTCAGTAAAATCCCTTTTAGTTATTAAACTATCTCACTATTTTTTAACTTTGCTTGTCAGTAGCATCCTTTCTTACATAAATATTATAAAACCTAGTTTGCTCCTTAGAAATTATTTATATAGAAATAGAATCTACTGGAGAGGAAACTGGATTTCTTGTAAATTTCTGTCTTAAAAGGGACTCTACTGACATGCAAACTAGATATATGTATATATTATATATATATATATATATATATATATATATGTTTATTTTATAGGAAATTCCCGCAGATATAATTGTACAATCAGAGGCTCGTGTCGATGAGAAACATGAAAATATATACTTTCCTTTACACAATGCCGACAATCAATTAGACGGCTTCAAGGTAATATTTAAAATAAATACAAATAATAATAAAAACAAAAAAATCTCATACGGCAACACTATCAAAATAACTTCAGGCAGTTCAAATTAATTAGTATTACCGCGTGGTGTACTTATAGGTGTGAAGTCAAACTAATGTTATCTTCACACTTGTGATGTTAGATTTTGACAGTTGACAGTATAAATAATGTAGATAAAAAAATAATTTATATACTACTTATAATAAAGATTAATATATATTGTTTATATTTTTATTACAGGTTATAAATAGTTTAAACGGTCGAGAATCAACTTTACCACCAGTGGGTTGCAGTGGACTTGCAACTATGAAGAAAACTTCTACTTCAACAAAAACTAGTGCTTCCAAGTCGGCCGTTTTAGTATTATCGATTAAGGATTTTTTGGCGTTGCATACACAGAAATTAATAGTAAAATATTTTCATTATACTTTTTATTGTTAGCGTTTTAGTTAATAATTAAAGAGAAATATTTTTTATCCTTCAGGTACTCCTGTTTGTCTTCCCTACGGTTTAAAATCGTTACCCCAAACAATGTCTTCCGGCCCTTGAGAATTATTCAAAATTAATTTTGTGGTTTTTTGGAAACGATGCCAATAATTGGGACACTTCGAGGAATTTTGCAAAGAAATTGAGCGAAAAACGTTGTTTATTTATAAGGTAAGAGGAAAAGCACTCTACTGACGACCGAACTGGAAAATATTTTATATAAGGACTCTACTGACGAGCAAATCGAGATTTATTAGAGATTATTCATAAAAAAGGACTCTACTGACGAGCAAACTTTAAATTATTTTATAGCAAAAGAACTCTACTGACGAGCAAATTAGATTTTGTTTATAGCTAAGGGACTCTACTGGTGAACAAACTAAATTTTTTTATAATAGCAAAGGGACTCTACTGACGAGCAAATTAGATTTTGTTTATAGCTACGGGACTCTACTGACGAAAACCTAGAATTTTTTTGTAATAATAAAGAGACTCTACTGACGAGCAAATTAGTCAATTTAGTCAATAAAAAAGTCATTAGTCAATTAGGTAATAAAAAAAGAATTCTACTGACGAATAAACTAGAATTTTTTTTATAAATAAAAAAGGGAAGGGACTCTACTGACAAGCGAACCTTAAATTATTTTACAGCTAAGGGACTTTACTGGCGAACAAACTAAAAAAATTTTTAATAGCAAAGGGACTTTACTGATGAGCGAATCAGAATATTTTTTATTAAAAGGACTCTACTGACAAATAAACTAGAATTTTTTTTAAAGGGAGGGGACTCTACTGACTTACAAATTAATATTTTTAACTAATATTTATACAAAAAGGGACTCTACTGACAAGCAAACCTTAAATTATTTTATAGCTAAGGGACTCTACTGGCAAACAAACTAAAATTTTTTTATTAGCAAAGGACTCTACTACTGGCGAACAAACTAAAAAAACTTTTAATAGCAAAGGAACTCTACTGACGAGCAAATCAGATTTTTCATTAAAAAGGACTTTACTGACAGGCAAACTGTTACTTCTTTAAAAATGATATATAAAAAAGGACTCTACTGACGAGCAAACTGATATTTCTTACAAATTATATATAAAAAAGGACTCTACTGACGAACAAATGTTATTTCTTCTTACAAATTATATATAAAAAAGGACTCTACTGACGAGCAAAGTGATATTTCTTGAAAATCATATATAAAAAGGACTCTACTGACTAGCAAACTGAATTTCATAAAATATATTAGTAAGAAAATTCTACTCTACTTAAACTTATTATAAATTATTTGTATAAAACGAACTCTACTGACGAGCAAATTGTAGATTTCCTAAAAATCTAGTAAAATTTTTAATCACTTTGCAAAAAAACTCTACAACAGGTTATAAAGTATATCATGCGAAAAACTTTATACTAAAACAAGAAAATGACTTTTTTAAACTACAGACTATCTTTATTTACAAATCGAGTTTATATTACATTTATTTAAAACTGTTCAACACAGTTAAGTTTATGTTACGTGGGTTTTACTGTTACTTACCTCACATAACCATAGGTATATCAAGTACATATTTAAAAAATGTTACAAGAAATTATCTAATTGAATTGTATGTAATTAAAATATAGTTAGTATAATTTATTAGTATTAAATAATTATATTTATTATTTATTATATAAATTTTCATATTTTTAGGCCTACAGAAAATCAACAAAGACCCTACCAAGCGATAAGTACAAAACAAGATCTAAAACAGATTTTATCAAATGCCCAAACGATTTGGCATAAGGCTATCACAAGTTTTAGTGCTTTGCGAGAAGATGTTCTGTTGGAATTGCAAAATATAGAAAAGGTATGGAATTTAAACAATCGCATAATTTACAAATACTTGTAATATAGATAATTTGATAATTGATATTGGTATAAAGATATAATATTACAATTAATGATAAAAACACAAATATTATACCATAAATTCAAATTCAAATGTTAACGGTCGCGAAAGAGTTGACAGTACCAACCCGCGGCTAACTTCATTGTGTCGGGTACATTGTTCGTAATTAAATGCAGTAATTTCAAAACATTTTATATACAAATTATAATAAGTTGTTTTGCTGCATTCAATATGTAATTAGTTTTATCTTTATTTAATTATAACTTTAATTTAAATAAAACAATGTATGTGCAAATAGTTCTTACGGTTCTTACAACAAATTACTGCATAAATATATATATATATATATATATATATATATATATATATGAAGTTGTCGCATACGGGTTGACAGTTCCAGTTCCCAACGAGCGCGCGAAATTTAAAATAGACATTTCAATATAAACAGTTTTTGTTTAAATTTAATTAACAACTTTTTTGATATTAAAACTAACTTTAGGCGAAGTGAAGATTATTGGATTGTATACAAAACTGGTTTGTGATTAT